ATTATATATATATATATATATTTATGGTTTTATATATTACAAAAAAACATGCAACGTATGTAGTATTCTTGTAATTTTTTCTAGAATGTAAATAAATATAATTGTAGCTTTAAATATTGTTTAAAGTCTCGAATATCTACCGTGGTAAAAGAATAGTTCTTCGCAATTCAAATTAGATTCCATCTGCATTCAATTCAGCTACTCTATTTCTTTCCATTTGTTTTGCACTTTGATTTGTGATTCGATGATTCGAAGAAGAAGAGAAAGGAAGAGAGCTTTCCGGCGAATAAATGAAAGAGACGACACATGTCGTATCGGTTCATCGGAATTCCTTCAAGAGGTGTTCTTTTGCAGGCGTTGCCCTCGACAGTGCGGATGGCAAGGACATCGCGATTATTAAGAAGCAAGGAAAGGTCAAGGCTCTCGAGGAGGAAATATTTTGCCGTAAGTGTCGGTTTCAAATTTTCAGACTTGTCCATTTGGTGCATTTCTTGTGCGTCGCGCGATCGCTTTTGTCGTCGCGCAAAAAGAAATACACGAGTTATTTGTAGTAAAATCAACGATATTATTTTCACAGGTACCAATCTTGACTTCGAATCGGAAACTCAATACCACGTTGGCATTGCTCACACGCGATGGGCGACCCATGGTGTTCCATCGGAGGTAAATGCTCATCCTCAGCGCTCTGACAGCGAGCACGCCTTCGTCGTTGTTCATAATGGTAATGTTCCTAATACATATGTATCTCGTGAAATTTTCCTCTTCCGAAATTTTTCTCTCCATTCTTCACATTATCTTGAATACAGGTATCGTGACGAACTACAAGGAAGTTAAAACTCTGCTGCAACAGAGAGGATACGTGTTCGAAAGTGATACCGATACTGAAGTTATTGCCAAATTGATCCACCATCTCTGGGTACAACATCCTGCGTATTCGTTCCGTGAACTCGTCGAGCAGGTTGTTCAGCAATTGGTAAGAATTATTAGGAAGGTTGAGATAAAAGTTTTCTTCTCTTCATAGAAAAATATAATAAATTTTATTAAATCTAAATGTAAATCTGTTTTATATAATTATCTTATAATTTTTTTATTAAAATATTATAAAATAATAGTCCAAGTTTTTAAGTGATAGCTCAAAATAATCCAAGGTATGATAATAATGGGAAAATTATTATTTTAGGAAGGAGCTTTCGCGTTATGTTTCAAAAGCAAGTATTTCCCAGGCGAGTGTGTAGCTACGAGGCGAGGATCACCGCTTCTCGTTGGTATCAAGACGAAAACGAGACTGGCTACCGATCATGTGCCTATTCTTTATGGAAAAGGTAAGCCTGAATATCGCGAATCGATTCAATTTCAATCCATGCCACGAGAAATGAAAGGAATATTCCTGACCACTATCAAGCGTTAAGTATCGAAATCGTAACTATCGATTCAAATGTCGTCTGGTGTTTATTAATATAAGTGTAATATCTTGAGAGGCAAAGAATATTAGGTACATTTCTCCTTACGTGATAATTAATCGATGAAAGAAAACGCATGAAAGCGTTTGCATTTTATTGCTCTAAGATCTCTCTTATTTACCCGATCTACTTATAGTGTCGATCTGGTGTCGACACAATTCTACGATCGAGAGAAAGGAGACTAATAATAAATACTTACAACTGACAACTAACTAAGCATGCGCTTTTTTCATTAATCCAAACTACAAGACATTCAATATGGAAATAAACATGCGATTAAACTATCTGGCTTCATTATTTATGTTGTCACCATGTACACACACAAACACACACACACACACACACACACACACACACATTTTGTATTCTGATATTATATAGCATACTGCAACTGATTGAAAGTATTATATCAACAGTAATTTTTCGCGTGATATTTATTGATACATCGCCGCATACGTTTGCACTTATATCATAAAATATCACATTTTAGTTTTCAAGATTCACAAATTAGTTTTTATCTTATTAAATAATTAAATATAGTAGTAGATGTAATTATAAACAGAAATTAATATTTATTTTTATGCTTGTATTATTTATTTTTTGATTTTTTTTTTGTCATTCTATCCATCAATTATCGTAATTATTCGAGTAGATGTAAGATTGTTAATTTAAATACCTCCTTTTTAGACTTCGGCAAGTTGCATTGCACGTAAACTCTCTTTCCATACGAGTTTAATATGGATTATTATATAAGTGTTTCTTTTGCATGAACATCTTCCGGTTATGTTCTACAACTTTTCATGCTGTTCAGACGATCTTCAATGCGCAATAAACAAAGGTATATAATCTATTATACTAAACTTATCTCGATTTCTGTCCTCGGCATTGGATCTCCCGTTGCAACGAGAGTATAAAACACGGTTTTATATTACGACATGTGACAAATCGAAATATTTCTGGTCGATATATCCATATTGATCCATTTGATCATTACGAATAATTACTGTCGAACGTGTTATTTTATCCCTTTAGAAAGATCCAGTGGTTGAGGAAATGCCTAAATCGATATTTCTTACGATTCTTATAGAACTGTTTCTGATGAAAATTTATTGCTAACACTTGCCGATCTCAATGATCGCATCCGACGTCGCGTCTTTGGTCTTTTGTCATTCACAGGCTGTTATCCAACGTTCGTTTCGCTTTAACACAATAACACACACACTCATTCGCTCGCTAATTGGCATATTTCTATTTTCGTTTCAAGTGAATAAATTTTGACACAGATCGACCTGCTTATGAGACAAGACTTTTTTATAATTTTTTTCTTGCAAGTCCGCGAACGTTATGCTAGTACACAGATAGTTATTTTTTTCAAACGGCTTTGCAAGAGGAGCGCAAGTTTTGATATTAAAAATAACATAATAATCTGATATACAGTGGCGTGCAAAAGTTTCCGGCCAGTGACATTTTGTATTCTAATTTATAAAAAAAGCTTGATAAAATTTTAACCATTATCGCGTATTAGTACAAGATGTGACTAATGAAATCTTGTACTAACATTTGATTAAAATTTTCTCAGGCTTTTTTAAATAAATTAGAGTATACAAAATGTCACTGGCCGAAAACTTTTGTATGCCACTGTACGTATCTTTTTAAAATTAGCTAGAAATAAATGAATTTCGAAACAGCTGCGACGAAGTATAGGTATAGAAGATTACAGCACATTATTGCTTACCGTAACAGAATGCGATGAATTCCCACCTAATTCCATGTAAAAATTTAAGGGGTTAATTATTGGATAATATTCTTTGATAAGAGCATTAGCCTTCGAAACAATGAAAATAGTAAAACACAGTATACATTTTACATTTACAAAAAATTGCGGCTTTCATACGATATGCATATGTGTTGTCACGATAACATGCTTCTCGGGAAATTTTGCAAAAAGTGTATAATATACAAAGAAAACTAAGATTGTTTTATATATAACAAAATACATTTAACATTAATATGAAATATATTTTTGTATTTAAAAAATAATTTCTAGATAAATTTAAATATGAAATAAAATAATTAATCTAAAATTATTTTCTTTTCAAAATATAATCTTTAATAATAGATATTAGGAGAAATTAGTAAAAAAATAATCTCTTATCCAAAAAATTAACATATTATTTTCTAAATTAATGCTCATTGCTCGCTCTTTGTGCCGCACCCGGTGCTCATTCGTTTCATTGAGTTTATGTTTGCCGTTATATCAATCATTATGCTGTTATCGTTGTGGCATTATTTGTGCGCTAATTGTTTTTGTTTTCTTTCTCGTTTTCCTCCTTCCCGCGTCCCAATCTGTGCAGAAGGTGAAGCACCGTCTCAAGGTAATACTTTATGTCAAGTTTAAGCCTCTCTCCGCTTGCTGTCTATGCCCGATTAACTGTTTCGGTGAATTGATTTACTGATTACGTAAATAAATATCTATATGTAATTAGTCCTTTTTAACTACAAGCGCTTGGCCGTATTTCCGATTTTTAGGGGTATAGACGATGGCTGGATGGATGATGGACGCGTTATACTGCACTCGCTTCCCGTACGTATACTATGATCTTCCTATTGTGTATAATTTACAAATTACTTTTTGCTTTCCGCCTGTAACAGATTCTGCCTATCCAAAGTTTGATGTAGAGGAAAATATAACATACTCTCGGATACGTATATTTTATTTCTACTCGCTACTATGAATAATTGTCGCTATACTATGCCTATTTCATAAGTGTACATTTCATTAAATGTTGCTAATTTTATATCTTGATCATCGTTATTATTATCAATCACATTATGACATTTTATATATATATATA